TGCTGATACTGATGATGATGATGATGAGGAGGAGGAGGAAGAGGAGGAGGAGGAGGAATAGGAACATGAGTGTCTGAGGGAAGGTGGTAAAAGAAATCTCTGCCCTGCTCTCTGTGCCCCTCCCTCTCGTCTCCCTCGTCGCCTCCTCCGCCCTCCTCCGCCCTCCTCCTCCGCCCTCCTCCGCCCTCCTCCGCCCTCCTCCGCCCTCCTCCGCCCTCCTCATCCGCCCGAGGATCATCCCTCCTCGTCGCCTCCTCCGCCCTTCTCCCGCCCCGCCCCTCCCCATCCCCGCCCCGTCGGCGGCCGCGCCTCTGGGTCCGGCGGCGGCCGCCGTGGATCGGCGGGCGGCCGCCTTTCTGACCGCGCCGGCCGGTGTTGGCGCGTCCGCGGCGCAGCAGGAAACAGCACCCGCCCTCCTCGCACTCTCTTGCGCACGCCTCCGCCGTGCTGGGTCGGAAGGTCCAAAGGGGGTCCTCGCCGCCTCTTCCCCTCCCGCCCCGCCGTCCTGGGCCCCTCGTCCTCACCGCCCCCTCCTCGGCCTCCCCGCCCCTCTCCTCGTCCCCCTCGTCGCCCCCCCTCGCTCTCCCTCGTCCTCCCCGCCCCCTCCTCGGCCTCCCCGCCCCTCTCCTCGTCCCCCTCGTCGCCCCCCCTCGCTCTCCCTCGTCCTCCTCGCCCTCCCCGCCCCCTCCTCGGCCTCCCCGCCCTCTCCTCGTCCCCCTCGTCGCCCCCCCTCGCTCTCCCTCGTCATCCTCGCCCTCCTCGCCGCCCTCCCTCCCCACCCCCCTCGCCCCCCTCCTCGCGGCCGCGCGGCGTCGGCTCCGCAGGTATACCCCTGCTACGGAGAGGCAGGGAGGAGGAGGAGGAGGAGGAGGAGGAGGAGGAGGAGGAGGAGGAGGAAGAGGAGGAGGAGGAGGAGGAGGAGGAGGAGGAGACGATGAATGAGGACGAGGCGGAGGAGGAGGAGGAGGAGGAGAGGAGGAGGAAGAGTTGAAGGAGGGAGGAGGAGAAGGAGGAGGGAGCAGGAGGAGGAGGAGGAGTTTGAAGGAGGAGGAGGAGGAGGAGGAGGAGGAGGAGGAGGATTTGAAAGAGGAGAAGGAGGAGGAGCAGGAGGAGGAGGAGGAGGTGTTGGAGAAGAAAGTGCGGGTTCGCTCTGTCCCTGGGGCGGCCTCGCGACCTCTTGAGCCTGCGCAGGGGCGCGGGCGCAGGAGCGCGGCGGCCGTGCCGACTGCATTGCCCTCTGCTTTCGAGTCCTCGAGTCCTCCTCCCAAGCAGTGGCGAGGCGTCCTGGCTGGCCTATCGGCCCACCAGAGAATGTTCTGAGAACCTCCTGTGGTCTGCACGAGATGTTCTTAGAACAGTTCTTGCTGATACTGTCTGGGTTGCTGATACAGTCTGGGTTTAACTCATCGGGCTCATGTTCTAAGAGCCTCGTTTGTGCTCTTAGAACCTTTTGGGGTTCAAAGAACACATCGTGGCAGGCCTCTAGCAATGCCCGGACGATCGGTCCCTGCGCAATCCTCGCCCTCCTCCTCGCCCTCCTCCTCGTCCATCGTCCCTCCTCCTCCTCCTCGTCCCTCCTCCTCCTCCTCCTCCGCCTCCTATCCTCCTCCTCCTGACCTCACCACGTGAGACGAACATAAACTGCTGGAAAAAAAAAACTCCTCCTCCCTCTCGCCCCCTCCCCCCTCCTCCCCCCCCCTCCTCCTGCTCCTCCTCCCTCCTCCCTTCCTCCTTTCTCCCCTCCTCCTCCTCCCTCCCCTCCTCCTCCTCCTCCTCCCTCCCTCCTCCTCCTCCTCCTCCTCCTCCCCCCCCCTCCTCCTCCCTCGTCCTCGCGCCCGCCAGGCGGCGGCCTCGGCCAGCGCGGCGCGGCGGCGGAGCATCGCGGGCGCCACGGAGGGCCTGGGCGCGGAGGCCAAGGGGCGGCTGCGGGAGCTCGCGGCGCTCGCCGCGGGGAGCGAGGCCCGCGGCCGGCTCGTCGTCGTCGCTCGTCGTCGTCGTCGTCGTCGTCGCTCGTCGTCGTCGTCGTCGTCGTCGTCGTCGTCGTCGTCGTCGTCGTCGTCGTCGCTCCTCGCTCCTCGCTCGTCGCTCGTCGCTCGTCGCCCGTCGCTCGTCGCCGCCGCTGCCGCTACCCCTGCACCGTTTCGCCGTTCTGGGCCTCCTGGGAGGCCCTCGTCGCCCCCGCTGGATGCGACTCGGGGGTCTGGTCAGAGGGCACACCCCAGGACAGGTCAGGGGAGCCGCGGCGTCGGTACCTCTCAGTTTTTCCAGTTGAAGCGGGTCCGCTGGGAGGTCTGAGCCTGAGGCTGTTCGCTCCAGCATCTCCGCGCTCGGGAGAAACCTCGCGGCGGCCCGGCGGATGAACGCGCTGGGGCGGCCAGCGAGTAATTCTGCAACTGGAAAGAACCTCAAAAGGCTCGATGGCGGAGCACGCGCAAACGGAGCGCCGAAATCCCTGGAGAGACGGGGCCGATATCGCGGACGGGCGGCAGATGGGGGAGGGGAGTTCGACGACAGAGCGACTGAACGGAGAACGCTGCGAGCGACGGTGCAGGGCGAGGAAAGCTGGGCTGGAGGGAGGTCGGGGTCCGGCGGTCCTCTCCCGCCATGCGGCTGCCAAGAGACGGCCCAGGAATGCAGAACTCGCCAGGGACAGCGCCGGCGGTGTGTCGACAGAGTCGTCCGTGGCTCAAGATGCCTCCAGCTCCAGGGCCGCCTCGGGGCCCGCTCGTGCCTCGTCTGGGCCAGTCGCCAGCCACGAGGGCTCCTCTGCCAGCCCTGGAGACACCTTGGGCCCTCCTCCTCCACCTCCTCCTCCTCCTTCTCCTTCTCCTTTCCCTCCTCCTCCTCCTCCTCCTCCTCCTCCTCCTCCTCCCATCGCCTTACAGGAGAGGGTGCCGCTGCTCCAAGTATTGAGACATGAGGGTGAGGCAAGTCTGGTGGGGACGAGGTTTATGAGATCGGCTGTGATCGTTATGGGCGTCACGAGGAGGTGGAGGAGGAGTAGGGAGAGGGGGATTGGACTGAGGAAGGATGTAGGAGGAGGAACAGGCGGATGAGGAAGAGGGGAAGAGGAGGAGGAAAAGGAGGAGGAGGAGGCGGAGGAGGAGGAGGAGAAGGCGGAGGAAGGCAAGCAGACAGGCCAGAGGCCTTTTAGATGCCTCTCGGAGTCTCTTCGGATTTTTTCGGGAGGTTCCTGGAGTCCTCATGGGGGCGTCTTGGGGGTCTCATGGCAGTCCTGGGGGCCTCTCGAGGCGTCTTGGGTGCCCCCAGGGGGGGGGGGCTCTGAGATGCTCTTGGGTCCCTCTTGGGGGTCTTTTGGGAGCCTCTTGGGGGCAGCTTGGGGGTCTATCGGGGGCCTCTCAGGGCCTCCTGGACCTGGGGACCCTTGGGGCCCTCGGTGGCCATCTTGGGCCCTCGGTGGCCCTCTTCGGGCACCCTTGGGACCCTCGGTGGCCATCTTAGGGCCATTCTGGAAGAGATCGATCGAATGAGGGGGCTCCTTGATTAGTGTTCCCCCCAGGGGGCCAGCATGTCACCCAAACCGTATTATGATCCAACAGTTGTGTATTTGTGCCTTCTCAGAGAGGCCTCTTGGGGCGTCGTCGGCGCCTCTGTGGGGCCTCTTGGGGCTTCTTGGGGGTCTCTTGGGAGTGCATCTTGGGGGCCTCTTGGGGCTTCCGGGGCACCTCTTGGGGCCCTCTTCGGACACCATTCGGAGCCTCTGGTCTTGGGGCCACCCTGGAGGAGATCGGCCAAAGCAGGGGGCTCCTTACCCCCCAAAGACGCCAACATGTGGCCAAAACGAAAGCAACATCAATGATGGTGGCCGTCCCGCCGAGGCCTCTGGGGACGTTTTTGGTGCTTCTGGGGGGGCGGCTTGGGGGGTTCTTGGGATTCTCTTGCGGGCTGGGCGTCTCTTGGGGCCTGCTGGGCATCTCTTGGGGCTGTCTTGGGGCGCCCGTGGGGGCCCCGGGCACCATCTTAGGGCCATCTTGGAGGAGTTCGATCAACGAACGGGCTCTGCTCAAGTAGCCCTCCTCCGTAGAATTCCAAAATGCGACCAACACCGCGATCAAATGAATAATTGTGCCTTCTTCGCCGAGACCATTGTGGACGCTCCAGCCCCTCGCGTAACCTTCCATCCAGGTCCATGGGGAGGGGGTCGGAGGAGGGGCAAACCCTCCCCGAAGGGGAATCATTTTTGTTGGAATGAATCTGAAACTCTCGAAGCCACTCACGCCCTAAATGGCTGGGTGGGGTTTTGCGTGCTGGTGTTCGGGCTCAGAGCTTACAGTCGGCACAGTCGGCTCAGGTTGTTTTTTCCTTCAACTTTCGTCGCCTCCTCCGCTGCTCGCCTTTGTGAGCCATCGAAGGGGGGTCCTATTGCCCTCGCCTACGTGGTAAAGTAATTGGGTTTCCAGGTATTTTACTGCCGACTGGGTGTGCGTGTGGAGCCTCAAGCACCGTTAGGTTTAAATCGATTCTTGACGCGGGCGAGCTCCATCTGCCAAGACGACGCCCCTTCCTTGATGATGTGCACTGTCGTCCAGGCCGATCTGACGACCCCCAGCTACCAGTCAATACAACATCCCAGGCAGGAACGCCCTGGAAAGATGGTCGACCCATTCTGGCGCCAGTCGGGGTTTCCATATCGCCTCTGGGGCTGACCACGCAGCCGCTGGTCACACGACATTTGCTTGTGCCTGCACAGTCTGCGTCGGGCTGCTCAGCCAAAGAGTTGTCACCGACGGCATGGTCTCGAAGCTTGATTACAGCGTGCGGCTTGAATAAGAAACACGTTGTTTTGCAAAAGGGGTTCGGTCGTCCTTTCGGCCTGCATGCGTTACTTGTCCGTTCCTCACGCGTTATGTACTACACTCCAGGCGATGCTTAAGAAAACCCAAATTTTCGGCCACAGTCTCGATTATTCTTAATGCTTCAATGTAAATCCTAACATTTGAATAGACATTCTGGGGCTGATTCCAAATTCTGAGACTATGAATTTCTGAACCCACGATTTCTAAAGCATTTCGCAGGGTGTATTGCTCGTTAATTTATCCCAGGGGCTTCGTTCCTTATTTATCGTGCCTTGGGTCAGGCCCGTGACTGAGTATTGCAGATGCCTCGCTGAGCGCCGTGCGCGCCCCGCGCCCGCCCCCTTCGACGGGGCATCTCCACGGTGGTGGCGTCCGTCTGTCTGCACGTCCTCCAGGGATGGCCCTCCTCACGCGCTCCTCTTCCTGCCTGTTTGCATGTATAAGACGACGCGAAGATCGGGACAACATCGGATCGGGATAACTCGAAATCTCTGCGAATCGGCGGGTTTGGAAGATGTATTGGGCGCCGCGGCCGCTCCAGAGCGTTCCGGAACGCTCTGAGAGCGCTCTGGAACGCTCTGGAGCGATTTATCCCGATCCTAGCCCTGTTTTAATGTAGCTCTCTCTGTCCTTCCGTCTATTTTCCACGCGTACGAATCATCTTCCACCACGCCCGGTTGCCGGGACTGCGTGTCCCATACGCCTATTCTCTTAGAGGACCGCCCCATAGGGGCTGGAACGTGGGTCGCATGCCCGAACTCTAGGTGCTGATCTGGGGGGGGTTCATGAGGATGCCGCGTCCTTTACTTACATTTGTGCGCATCAGGCAGCCACGTGGCAGCAGTAGCTCAAGCAAACGTGACGACAGTGACGAGAGTGGAGGAGGGGGTGGAGGGGGGAGACAAGGATGACGACGAGCAGTGCTTCAGGACGAGCCGGACGTGGAAGACGAGGTGGAGCGAGGAAGTCCCGAGGCAGGAGGCGTGAGAAGGAGGAGGGGAGGAGGCGGAGCCTTGAGAATGGGGATGTTGGAAAAGGTGGAGGAGCAGGACAGGTGACGGCGAGCGAGGAGGACAGGAACACATCTGACTGGGGTGTCCCTGGAGGTCTCTGGAGATCCCAGGTCTATTTTCTGTCTCTGCTCGCCTCCGGAGGCCTGCGGACCCTCGAGGCTGGAACCCCTGGTGGAGCATGTCAATATCCGGCCCTGACCTGGAAGAGGAAGAGGAAGAGGAAGAAGACCACAGGGGGAAGGAGGAGGAGGGGGAGGAGGAGGAGGAGGGGGAGGAGGAGGGGGAGGAGGAGGAGGAGGAGGAGGGGGAGGGGGAGGTGGAGGAGGAGGAGGAGGAGGAGGATGTGGAGGAGGAGGAGGAGGAGGAGAAGGGGGAGGAGGAGGAGGGGGAGTAGGAGGAGGAAGAGGAGGAGGAGAAGGAGGACGGCAGCTGTGGTTTAGCCGAGGCGCTGCTGGCGGACACCGTGGCGGTCTGCAGGGCGGAGGCCCACGGCATCTCGTCGGTCGCGGTGGCAGAGCGGGAGCGGCAGATGGCGAGCCTGCTGCCGATGGACGGCGGGCACTTCGTCGAGGCGTTCGGCATCCTCCGAAGGAAGAGCGCCAGCACGAGCGCAGACTTTCGGAGCTCCGAAACTCCGCGCGGGTTTCCAGGATCGGTGCTGGGCAACCCTTGGCGGCGCCTCTGGCGCGGCCCCTGGCCCGCGGAGCGCGACAGGCTGGGAGGGGGGGTACATCGCCGATCCAAGAAATCCGCGTTATGCCCATGCAGATGTTCTTTGTTCTATCCGTCCCCACCAGTCCACCCCCCCGCACATGCTTGACCTCCCCGCGCCTTGAACACAAATCACAACGGATTGTCTTGGCCCGTGTTTGGCCTGCCGGAGTCCTCACCGAGCCCCGTGGCCGTCACCGTTGCGGCTCGGGCACGTCCCTCTACAGGAGGAGTATTCAAAACTATGTATACAAATGTTATGGGGACGATTTTCATTGTTTCGACTATTCTTGGATATGTTTAAGACTTTTTTAGGTTCCCTCCAACGTCCGCCTGTAGGAGGACATGCCCGACCTGAGTCCACGTGGAGGGTTGAAGACCTTCGCGGAGCCATGTTCCCAGGCACGCGACGTCTGGAGTTCTTCCTTGCGCGGTCCGCCTAGGTCCTCAGTCGTTTCGTGACGCTCCCGGGGCCCCGTGAGGGCCCTGAGGCCGAAGACCGCCAGAAGTTGTCTGCTTTCTCTTTCTCGCCACGCGAACAGCACGTCTGGGAGGAGGAGTAGGAGGAGGAGGAGGAGGTGGAGAATGAGAAGCAGGAGGAGGAAGAGGGGGAGGAGGAGGAAGAAGGGCAAACACAGTCAGAGGAGGAGGAGGAGGGATGTGGAAAGCCACGGCGTGGGAGCGGGGACTCCTCTCCGCTCCCTCGCCCCGCTCCCCAATCCCCGCCCCGCCGAGTCACCCCGAGAGGGCGCCGCCCGCGCACCTGCATCCTCGTTCCACCTGAGCACGGGGCCCGTGCCTCCGACCCCCTCGACGTTTACTCCAGATTTCATGATAAAGGGAGGAGGAGGAGGAGGAGGAGGAGGAGGAGGAGGAGGAGGAGGGGGCATCGCTCGAATTTGCCTGCGCACGGGTGGAGGATGTGATTTGCGTCCAGCTTGGGCCCTG